CACAGTATTGGTGGCATGACGCATTAAATCCTAAAACCCTACTCTGTGGCAGCAGCCCCCAAGGCTGGAGGTGCAGTGTCTGCAGTGGGAGCTCCCATCCAAAGCCTCTCCCAGGTCTCTCCTCCCTCTCCAGTGCAGGAGAACATGCAATTACAGAGCACATTCATAATTTCTCAGATTTAGAACAATTAAGCTGGCTCCCTGGTATTTCTGACGAAAGCAGCCCCTTGTTCCCCGAGGAAGTAAAAGCCTCCCTTGACCTCTGCTCTATTATTCTGTTTGATTGATCTTGATTATATCAGAAAGGATAATGATAAGCTTTTGGGAGGTGCAAGTACATTGGGAACAAAGAGGTTGGGCGCTTTGCCCAGGACTGCTGGGGCAGTGACGGCTGTGCCCAGCTAATGAGGTGTGGGACACCCCATCCTCTGCACCCAGTGTGGCTACCAGGGCAGCACCAACACCCAGGACATCCCTGGATTCCCCAAAATGGAGAAAGGGAAGGCTAAAAGCATGTTGTAAACAAGCAAAGAGGATTTGGTCCCCCAGCTGGACTGTGGCCAGCAGCAGAAACTGTGTCTCTGCCTCTCCCACTTCCTGTAGGGAACTCCCCACCTGCATCAGGGCACCTGCCCAGCGTGGGGATGTGTCACCTTCTCCTGTGCCCACGGGGATTTGTTGCCCCTCCACTGTGTTCCACCTTGGGAACAAGCACAAGGATGCTGACAAGGGGCATGGAAGCACATCTCCCTTGTAAGGGACTGGGCAATGTTACTTTCCTCTACTCTGCCCCAAAAAAATCCTCAAATAGAAAAATCAGAAACCCCACACACTCAAGTTACATCCTCGTTGTTCATTAATCACAGATGGACTGAGTTAACCAGGAAAACCCTAAAATGCCAGCTCTGGAGGCTCATTTCTACCCCCAGCTCTGCCTCAGAATGGGTGTGCTGGGGAGGACCTGGACCTGCTGGAGACCATCACACTTCCTAGTGGGCAGCTCTTTGGTTTTCCAGCTTTTCTACTCCCATCAAAGCAGCTTTGGCACCGTGTCACACCAGCAGTACCATGCTGGGAAGTGCCACTCTGGCTCAGGGAGCTGCATCGCTACACAAGCCTCTCCAGAGAGCTTTGATGTTGAAATCAGCATGTGGAGAGGGGCTGTGTCAGATGTTCCTTTTGTATTCCTGTAAAACACGTGTGGTATCATTGGTGTCTGGGCACATTTTCTGCTCATATTATCTTTGGCACACCCTGGTGAAGGGGAAAGGTGGTGAGAAAACACCCAACTCTTCTTCCCAGCAGGTAAAGAATCAGCTAATTATAAAACCCTGCTTGTCACTCGTCTTGGATAAGGGTTTTTTCACTGCTGCTATTGTTTATGTTCCTACAGGGTAACCATAATTTTTAATGTCCTTTTGATAGCAGTGTAGTATGATTAAAAGAGGCATATCTGAGACATAAATCTGGTTTTAAGCATTGCCATTTTGACATGCAATATTGAACACTCAGGGATCAGGCTGAAGGGTCCTGGGCATGCATAAAGTATTTTCCATGAGAGAAGGCTCTGGCCTGTAGCTGGGGATGGTGCTGGGGGGCTGAGGAAGGAACTTTCAGAGCTAAACCCCTGTTTCAGAGGTGACTCTGACTCCGGGATCGTAGCCCTGACTTTAGGCAGGTTCCTGCCTCTGCCATTTGCTCAGGCTTCTTGTTTTGATCAAGGATGCAATGCTGTATAATTTAAGAAAGACTTTGCTCCTGAGGCCAGTTTGATACCAGTGGAGTGGAAATGTGGAAAAATACAACCCTCCCCCATGGAAGTTTGATCGGATACCTGAGCCACTCCAAGAGATGTTGTTTGCTACGACTCAATTCAGTTTGTGCCTTTGGGTGACAATGTGCCCACCAGGAAAACAAATCACAGTCACCCTGTGCCTCACCCTGCCAATGGATGGGCTGGAGCCCCTCTGCTACTGAGCCAGGCTGGGAGAGCTGGAGGTGGTCAGCCTGGAGAAGAGAAGACTCCAGGGAGACCTTAGAGCCTCTTCCAGTGCTTAAAGGGGCTCCAAGATAGCTGGAGAGGGACTTTGGACAAGAGCCTGGAGTGACAGGAGAAGAGGGAATAGCTTCCCATTGCCAGAGGACAGGGTTAGATGGGATATTGAGAAATTCCTGGTAGTGAGGGTGGTGAGGCCCTGGCACAGGTTACCCAGAGAAGCTGTGGCTGCCCCAGTGTCCCAGGCCAGGTTGGACAGGGCTTGGAGCAACCTGGTCTAGCAGAAGGTGTCCCTACCCATGGCAGGGGGTAGAATGGGATGATCTTTAAGGTCTCTTCCAACTCAAACCATTTCAGGATTCCACGCTCAGCTCTAGCAGAGCCATTCAGCCATATCAGATGGATCCAAGGAAGGAGACTTGGGGGTCCTGCCTGGAACCACAGCTCAGCGGTGCTGGGGAACCAGCTGGGCTGCTGGAGGTGCAGCTTCCCTTTCCTTGAAGGCTACAGATAAACCCCAACCAGAGGAAGGGAACCCTTTTCGAATTTAGATGTTGTAAAAAACATTTTGCAGCAGAAAAACTGAAAAGCCCTGCCCCTGGGGAGCGGGCTGCAGCTGCAAGGACTCTGGTTTTGCTGCACCCTTCCCTCCCTACCTTTCCTAATGAATTCCAAGAAAGCCTCAATGCATTCCTAAATGGGAACACAGCCTGTGTCCTTCACAGTCATCTCCACAACAAAGCCAGCGATCTCGCCGCTGGCAGCCACGGGCTCCTCTGTGAGCTGGAAACAAAAGCTGAAAGGGAGCCTTTCTAGTTGTGATTAGAAAGCTTGAAAAGTTTTGGCTTTTAGTTGATATTGCCTCACTGATTTCATCTCCGTGGCAGCTCTGAACCTCTAGGGGAGAGGAGAGCAGCCCAAGCCCCTCTCCAGACGACGAGCACGGATTCTGCTGTGTGAGATGCAGCTCCAAGGGCCCGGAAGGAGCAGGAATGGGAATGTCTGTACCTGTTAGGATGCTGCACTGGGTTTGAACGCTGAAAGTTGGTTTCCATCCTTATAGAAGGAGCAGCACCATTGCCCAGCAGATGCCAGAGAGTTCGGCTCCCCCCAGGAGAGGACCGCGGGCACCCGGAGCATCCCCACGATCCAAGGAAATCCCTGACCGCTGAAACCATCAGCACGCAAGTGACCCCAACGGTGCCAGTTATTGTCCCAAAACCACAGCCACACCCCACCCCCTCCGATCTGGGGGGGAAGCAGAAACTCGTCCCCCCAGGCCACGCTGCCTCCAGGGCTGCTCCAAGCGGGGGGATGGGGTGGGGGGGGGATGGAGGTGGAGGGGGGGGCTGTTTGGGGGGTGGGTGTGTGGAGGAACTAAATTTAATTTTTTTTTTTAAAGAATGCATGAGGAAGAGAGATTATTGGGGAAATTTTCTTGGGGGAAAATTCTGGCACAAACTGCAATACCTCAGCGGAGGCTGGGGACTGAGTCTTGGATAAAAATAAAGCAGGAGGCGGCAGCACCTTCCCGATGACATTCGCTTCCATTCATCTCCCGCTGCCGCCAGCGTGCACAGGCATTAGGAGTTACGTTTTCCTTCACTATTTCTCAAATATATTTATGCTGGGAGATGTTTGTGGAGGTACATCGTGTGCCTGGGGCAGAGGATTAATTCCAAACTGTCACCTCGCTTTTTGATGGGTTTGTAAATTCTGCTGTTGATTTGCACTCACAGTAAATTGATAAAATCCTCTTTCCAAAAACCTAATTCACCATTTAGAGCTCACCAGGGTTTTATACCTCATTGGCTCACATATTTATGTAAATATAGTGTCCAGCAGCAGTTTAAAAACTGCTGCATGGATAATATGGATGCATGATAAGGAGTGGAGGGAAACATGTTGTCTGGTGGGGGCTGTGTACCCTGGAAAGGAGCTTTTCCTTGTCTTGGGACCCCAAATTTTGGGGTGGCTTTGCAGTGGGTGGCTGCTTTGGAAAGTGTTGCCCCAGGATCTTTCCCCTTTGCCCCAGAGCGGATTAACCCCAACAGTGTTGGGAATGGTCTGAAGTCTCTAAGGATGTTCTCAGGACATTGGACATGTCCACGAGGACATTGCTAAACTGTGTCTGCAGAGCTCCTGCGGTGGGAGGGGATGTGCTGGTGTACTGGGTGCACTGGGAGCTCTTAGGGCTCATGCCAGAGTGGTCTGTCAATTTAGGGACTTTGTGTCTTTGCAAATGGAAGTTCAGGACTGTCAGGAGTAGCCTGTTTTTTTACTGAAATTGCACTCAAATCAGCATCAGGAGATGCAGTGCCTGTTTCTGCAGATCACTGTGCAGCCCCATCATCATGGAAGAGATGCAGGGTGGCAGAGGGGACATCAGAAGTGATGTCCTCAGTATTGTCCCCCAGCCACCACTCTACCCGAGATGAAGCATCTCATCCACAGAATGTTGCCATGCTCCATTAATCCACCCTAAAAAGTCAGATGGAGATTCTCTCTTGAATTTTAAATATTTTCAGCCATTCTGACTAGCTCTGAAATTGCCCTGAATTGACCAGTTTCCAGAACATTCCCTCACTCCCCCTGTTACTCCTGTGCCTGCCTGCCCACTCCTGCCCTCTGTGCCAGGTCCCCGCAGTGGTGCCCTTGATCATGGGCTGGAGGACGTCACCAAATGTCCCTTGGCAGCCCCAGGGACCAGGTTTGCTGTCCCTTCCCTGGGGTCACCCTGCAGAGCTGCCCTCCCAAGGACACTCCTGGCCCCTCAGCTCCTGGTTTTGGCACATCACACACCGCTGTGCAAGACAGCGAGACATGAGAATCCTTCTTGCCGAGCAGATGACGCTGCTCCGGGATCCACCCCACAGTTATCCCTTCTGTCGTGCTTCAGGTTTTGGATGCCTTTGCATTTGGCACCAAATTTCCTTCCCAGACTAAAGCTTTGCACTTGGAATCGTGCCTTCGGAGCCGGGCTGAGTGGCCAGGCTGCTCATACGATCCCTCCTCTCTGCCAGAAGCTTGGATTTCACTCCCGTGAAGTCTCCTCGCACCTTCCTGCCGCAGCCATCTGTCCTGGGGTGCTTTGCCCTCACCCCTAGGAAGGAACAAAGAGCCAAACCCCTGGGGGCAGTCTGCCAGGCTTTCTGGGGGTTAAACACCTATTGCAGGAATGGGATCCTGGGGTTGGAAAAAGGGAGATCGGTCTGGATAACTCTGTGCTTAACCTTGCAGACCTGGGAATCCGGGCAGAGCCTCCTCACTTTGTGTCAGGAAAGCGCCAGGCTCAGCCAGCGCTCAGGGTTGGTCAGCTGCTCTCCTGGCCTCTTCCCAGGGAAAGGAAAAGGAGGAAAAGGAATAAAAAAAGAGATGGTTGAGTCGGGGCTGTGCTCTGGGAGCATGCCAGCCGCAGCTGCACCACCAGCAGGAGCTCCAGCAAGCAAAAAGAGGGAACAGAAGGGAAAGCAGCTCCTCAGCACCTCAGAAACACCGTCCCTCCCGAGCAAAGGTTGGGAACAGCACTATGTCCATGTACCCACAGCCCTGAGCCCCCTGGCACCATGGGACAGAGCAATGCAGCAGAGGATCCCCATTCCAGGGGGCTGTCACTCCCCTCTGCACCCCTGTGGCTGGATTTGCATGCCCCTGTTCACTCCCCATGGGCTCTGGCTGCAGCCAGGACGAGGACACTCATCTGGATCCCTGAGTTACAGCTCAGTGCAGCTCCCACAGCTGTGACAGCGTGACACTAAATCCCAGCAGCACGCTTCAAAGGGCTTGTTATCCTACATCCATGTCATCTAAGGAGGACACGGGGCCAGGAATAATATCTTCTCAAAAGCAGTGGTGGAGCTCCCTGCGAGCTGAGCCCCACTTCTACAGCTCCTGGAAGTTCCTTCCTGACATCACCTGGATTTTGGGGGTCCAGGGGCTGCCAGGGGGCCCAGAACTGTGCCAGGACCCAGGCACTGGCCATGGCTGCTCAAGCATCCCCCGGGCATAGGGATCCAAGCCAAGGCTTGCATTTGGGTATGAGCCAATGCCATGGGCTCTAATGGAAATCCACAACATGTAACTCTCCAGTATGGAAAATGAGTCTCCCTTGCTCCCAGCTTTCCCCCTTCAGTCCCAGGCTCCAGTTAGCTCCTCCAGCTGCCCAGCTCCATGGATCACCTCTGATTTTGGAAATCCTTACGGATGAAGTCTGAAACACAACAGAGCTAAGTGAAAAGGGGGTCGCTGCAAGCATTGGAAGTTCATTTATTTCCCTTCTTCACCTTCCCAGTGGTGCAGGTGACCCTGCAGGTGTTCTGGATTGGCACTGGAGGGATGCTGGGTGCCCACCAAAGCTGCTCCACCCTCACACAGGAGACAGTCCTGGGGTTCCTTCCATGGGAGACAGTTCTTCATGAATTTCCCAGTGTGGGTCCTTCCCACAGGCTGCAGTCCTCCAGGAACTGCTCCACTATGGATCCCTGCCACAGGGTCACTCCTTCAGGAATAGGCTGCTCCAGCGTGGGTCTCCCAGGGTATCACAAGTCCTGCCAGCAAACCTGCTCCAGCATGGGCTTCCCATGGGGTCCCTGCTCCGGTATAGGGTCCTCCATGGGCTGCAGGTGGATCTCTCCTGCCCTGTGGACCCCCACTGGCTGCAGGGGCAGAGCTGCCTCACCATGGGCTGCACCACGGGCACCTGCAGCACCTCCTCGTCCTCCTCCTTCACTGACCTTGGTATCCACAGGGCTCTTTCTCTCACATATTCTCACTCCTCTCTGTGGCTGCTGTTTCCGTTTTGCAGGTATTTTTATCCATGGATAGAGCAGGATGTGGATAGAGCAGGATGCGGATAGAACGGGACCAGCCCCATGGGACAGAGCGAGAACATCCTTAACAACTTGTCTGTTAACAAGCTGTGAAAGGAGACAGACAGCCAGGAGCTGGCGGCCTGTCCCTGGAATGAAGGACACCTTCCTTCCCTGAGCACCTCAGTGGGAATGACTCCAGCTGCAAAATCTTTCTCTCTCCCTTCTCCCGGCTCGTGCAGGCTGAGTTACCTGACACTGCATTGGACCTGGGGCTGCAGCGAGAGCTGCTGAGGCACCTGCACCATGTGGACCTGCTCCCTGCATCCCATCAATCCAGCATTGCTCATGTGTGCATCAGCAGAAAAAGTGATCCTGTGAAGCAGGTCCTTTTGGGAAGGGCTCTGGAAAGTGCAGAATAGAGCTACGAGCAGCAGCTGAAGGGCAGCAACCCCAGTCAGAGATGCCAAACCCTCTCTCCCCTTGGACAACCCCTCCGAGCCTTCCCCCACTCTGTTCTTTGCCCCCTGTTTTGGGGGGCACCAGCTGGGGGGTGGGGTGTCCCCATCCCCTCTGCCAGGGCTGGCACCAGCTGCACCCCAAGGTTTCTCCTGGCTTTGAGCCCCTGTGCTGCCTCACGAAGGGGCATGGCTGGGTACTGCCCATGGCCCCCACACTCCACACTGATGTGGTTCATCCTGGTGCTCACCCCACTCAAGCCCTGATGGGGTCAGGAGGCTGAGTGCTGTTGAGGTGCCAGTGTCCCCCTACACATCCAGTGGGTGACCCCCCACAGAGCTGTGGGTCCCTGGGGCCAGAGCAGGGACGGACACATCCCCATCTTACAGAGCGCCCTGTGCCTGGCAAACCAAGTGGTTAAAGCTACAAAACTCTCAGCACTGAATTCAGCAATTTCATACCCCTGACAAGAGTGTAAATCCATCCTGATGGACTGGAAAATTGGAAAGCCAGTGCTCACGCAGTGTTTCCTATAGACATCTCTGAGCTCCTGAAAGATGCACTCGGTGGCAGGCCCCAGTTCCAGCCGTGTCGCCCTCGTCATGCTAATTAAAATAGAGCCTGTGTTTTGTAACAGGATTTCCTTGGAGTGTATTTTACTGATCAGTAACCGCTTTCAACTATTTGAAAAATAAAATCGCATCAAGTAAATAACTTTTGGATTGTCACAGAAGGTTAGTCTGTTTTGAGTTTTTTTGTGCCCAAAGCCCGCTGGAAGCAGCTGCACTCATCGCAGTGACAGAGGATGGAAAATACACGGATTTCTGAGGCTGCTTGTAGTCCAAATCAAAAGCTGCATCTTATTTAATCATACAAAGCTCATTTCATTAAAAAAAACAACTGTTTGTACAGAATGGGATAACAAAGCACCCCAGTGCTTGGCACTGAGCATGGAACATCCCTGCCTGCTGGCAGGATGGGCCATACTCACACCTACTGACTTTGATGCCCACGTTACCTGCCCAGCAATGCCCTGACACCCCTCTGCCTCATCTGTGAAGTACTATCCATTAGCTTCCAAACCCAGCACAATCTGACTTCTGAGGGCTGGATCACACACTAATTTGTTCTTCACTTCCCTTTTCACAGGGTTTGCGTTTCCAAGACCTCTGCCTGGCATTCTGGATGCCAAGGGAGCACACTCAGCTGTGTGCAGCCTGCCTTCTCAGCCCCAAATCCTGGTACAGATCCCTCAAGGACAAAGTTTAAAATGTACAGAAGGAAATGTCTGTGACACTGTGACATCCAGAAAACTATACTTAAAATGGCATCTTTGTATATTCATAATGGCAAGAAATACGGGAGAAGCAGATGGCTAAGAGAGACTAATTTCATTTGCTCCTAGTCCAGGCTCTCCCTGTCCTTTCTGCCAAGGAGGAGAGAAGGAAGAGGAGCTATTTGCCATGGCCTCTGATAGCTCTCCATCAGACAATCCCCATTCCCGATGTCTCCGGCCGCAGAGCCCGCGGGCAGCCTGGCCCTGTGCCGTTTTCTCGTTGCTCGGGGTGCTGCCGCGAGAGCTCACCGTGCACTTGTTGCAGCCCTTGCCGAGTTCACGCTCAGTTTTTCTTCCTGCTGGACCCACCTGATTCTCTGGAAACAGCCTCCCGTGGTGCTGCGCTCACCACACGGCCAAAGGAATCTCTGTGCCTTGCTGCTGCACTGTGACAGCCAGCCTGGGGGTGCCCAAACCCCTCGGAGAAGGGAGGGCACAGATCACGAGGCTACAGAGGAGCCCAAAGCTCAGCACCCCTGGCTGCGTTTCTGCTCCCGGCACCGCAGCCTCGGGAAGGGTTTACTGGTCTCGTCACAGCCTCTAGTGGACACCCTAAACGGGGTATATTTAGAAATCCTAGATCTCCCAGGGGTCTGACTGTGCCCCTGCCATGCCCAGTGACCAGACTTTGCCAGGGGTCGGTCCCAGCCCGAGACTGCATGGGCAGCACAGGCAGCATTGCCCTCTCTGCCCACAGCTGCCCACACGCCCCATGTTTGCCCTCTGCATCATTTCACGGTGCTAAACAAATACCCCCGCTGGTGACCGTGCTCCCTGCACGCCACTGCTCCCTGCACGCCGCTGCCCGGAGCCTCCTGGCACAAGTCCCTGCGGAGAGACGTGCCTGTCTTGCCTGTTCCGCTCTGTGCCGGTGGGTGGGTGCGAGCGGATGCCGAGAGGAGAGGAGAGGCTTTCACACCTCCTCTCTGGTGATCTAAATGGCTTCACCAGTGCAGAGCACCAAAAGCCACCAGCCGAGCACCCGATGGGTGCAAGTCATGTGAAACTGGTTGTTTCTTGAAAGCGTGAACTGAAAGAGCAGCAGATGGAGCACAGCAATCTGACTCTGCAGGGTCTGATCCTGTTCCCCCCCCAAGTTGGAGAACAGCATGGTTTGCTGGTCTGGGCCCTAACTGTGTCCCTCTCCACACAGATCAACAACCCTCCCAGGCATGGGCAGAGCTGCCACATCACCGCTGGCTCCAGGCTGTGTAGGCAGGAGTTGAGCTTTTACAGCAATAATTCACCAAACCTTGTAAAGGGTCAACAATTTATCAGCTCTCTCTCTGCCAAGGAAAGAGGAGTTCGGCACACTGTGTTCTCCTATCCTTAGATTTATGGCAGATCGTGCCAAATCCTGTTCCCAGGGAGCTGGGCTTCCTGCTGATGCTCCCAATGGGACTGGGGCAACCCTTCTGCCTCCAGTACATGAGGCAGTGTGGGAGCTGTGAGCCCCACACTGGGCCTGTGCTTGATGGATTTGCTTCCCAGCTCCTCCAGACCCCCCCAGGGGGCTCAGGGACCATCACTGCACTCACAACCCACCAGCAGCTTGGACCAGAGTGTCAGTGTAGCCAGAGGAGCATGCCTCTCTGTGCCCCCATGCTGGAACAGGATGCCAGGACTGGCAGGGACTTTGATTCCTCCACACATACATGCATGTCCATATGCAGAACACAAATCCATGCAGGTGAGAGAGAAATGCCATCCTCTATGCTCATTTCTGTCTTGCTGCCCAGAAAGGATGGATTCTGTAATACAATCCCTGTCTAGAGAGCTGAGTTTAAGGCCAAAAAGTCAAAGTCATTCAATGCAATCTGAACATGAGAACAGGGACCGAAGAGGGTAGGCAGCATTGCACAACATTCCTGACACCTGGAGCTGGTCGTCCCTGCTATAAACCCCCCATCAGCCCTGGAGGGCAGCCTCGGGCCCCGCACACACTGCAGCACTGGCAGACACCAGCCTCTCCCGTTCTCCCACTGAACAATCCGCCCTGGTAGCCCCATCCGGACACACACTCAAGCCCAGCTGCCTCATCCCAGCACCCCACCAGTGCCGAGGGACTGGATACAGGCACCACTTTTGTCATGTTTAAGCCCCACGCGAGTTTGTGATGACTTTGCCAAGTCACCCGCGAGCACGTCCCAGAGCCTATTCTTAGGTCTGTCATCGCGGCGGTCTGCCAACGCGGGGGTGGGAGCGGGAGCGGGTCTGCGTGGAAACGTGACACACGCGGAATGAACATGCAGCCCCTGGATAAACACACCCCCTCACGGCCACCCCCTGCAAGCCCGAGACGGTGGGACAGGAACACCGGCGGGGACTTGGCAGTGAGGGCTGGAGGGACCCCGGGGGCTGGGGACACACAGAGGACTG